TATTGGAAATGCTGTTTGGCTTTAGTTTTCCTTACCTTTTTAATAAGTGTGCCTGTGACAATCAAATCCTGCAGATGCTTATGCACAGAACTGACTTTTGCACTCACTGGTAGTCACAGACTGTGTTGCTTCCATATCCTTTCCCCCTCCTACCACTGCATCCCCTCTCCCCACGTCCGCAGCTGCTCGGGACTGTGTGGGAAACCAGTGCTTCCAGCCAAGAGTGGAAATACAGGACTCCTGCAGACAGTTTTCTGAAATGTTTCCTGGTAGTCCTCTGCTCAGTTTGACAGCTTTTTAGCCTGATTATTAATGGTTCTGACAATCTTGGGGTGAGTGCTGCGGGGCCTGAGTCAGTTCTGGTGCCTGCATTTCCTTCAGCGTCTCCAGCTGGCTCAGGAGTGCTTTCAGGGATCGGGGTCCTGGAATCCCACTTCCAGGCCCAGCTGCGTGTGGATGTCAGAGCACCAACAGGGGTGTAAGCTGGCCGGGCAGGCAGTTCCTCTCCCGTGTGCAGTATAGGCTGAGGTCAGATGGGAGAAGTGAATGTGATAAACCTGAGCAGAAAAAGAGAAGGTTCAGCTGCTGCAGCTCAGACTGTGGAGCTGGGCAGGGTTTGTGGCTATCTGCATGAAGTGAGGGCTCCAGTTCTTTCATGCTGTTTGCACAAGACTTCCAAACTTCTGTGTCTGATTTTTGGGTTTTCCCCACTTTTTCTTTCCTTACTCTGTAGGTCAGTTCACATCCAGTCTTTCCCACATTCCTGGTGGGCAGAGCTGTGGTTGCAGGCGTTGTTTTGCTGTGTAGTCAGAGCCTGCTTTTGGCCGATGGGCAGGTCGCAGGAAGCTGGACTGAGTTCCCCTGTCCCCTCGGGAAAGGGCTGCTCAAGAGGATGAGCAGGCTCCTGGAGCTCCTTGTGCCACAGCCGGACTGACATGGTCTCGGTGCACTTTTTGAGAAACAGAGGTGTTGGTTGCTCCAGGAGATCATTGTCAGAGAGAATGAGAGTTGCAAGTACATGAGAAATCTTCATTAGGAGGAAAATCAATAGTAAAACAATGTTTCAATCTATAGTCTCAGTAAGTCATTTAAATTTTAAATCTTTAAATTTAATTTTTAAATCTAATTCTTCTCAGAGGTGAAAACTTTTCCATTTGTGTTTTATCGAATCACAGTATTTGAGTAGTAGGTCAGTGTTGGGAAGTTTTTTGTTTTGTTTTTGTAGGAAGCCCTTCCAGTAACTCCCCAAACTCCTCACAGCTGTTTTCTTTTTAAAAAACAGCTTATTTTTCAAAAATGGAAATTTTTACAAGGTACTTTTTAATTTTACTTTGCAGTCAGTAAAAGGTTCCTCTTAAATGTGGAATATATAAATTTCAGATTGTGTTTTAACTGGAAGCCAATTTTTATTTTGAGCATATATTTTATGAACAAGTTACTATTATCACTTGTTCTTACTGTAGATGTACTACCGCAAATAATGCGGTGTCTTGTACCTCTGTAGGATTTTTACAAAGACTGACACCATGAGGCATTAAACCTCTCCCTAAAGATATGAAAAAAATGAAACGACATAAAAAAATCTTCGCTGAGAAACAGAGACAGAGGAAAAAAATAAAGACAGCTGGGTGAAACATGTTTCCGTTGGTTTGCGAGTTCATATTTTATTTTGTCTAGCAATCAAGATGCATTTTTTCTTTTTAGAAAATAAAAATACATCATTTTGACTTCCAGTTTGAAAAAACAGAAGCCCTACATTTACATATTCCACACAGTTTCATTTTGCACTCCTCTTTCAATTTTTGCGTTCGTATGTCATATTTGAAATTTAAATTTTGATGTTGGAATCTACCGCTTTTGTGATTTTCTGTTTCGAAAGGAGAAGAACAGTGATTTCAGTTCAGCTGGGTCAGGCAGCAGCCGTGACTCCGCGGCTGCTCCTGGAGGGAGAAGGTGGCTCCTGGAGCGGCAGCCTCGCACCCCCGTCGCTGTGTGTGCCTGTGCCAGCCCCGCGTGGAGCTGGGCAGGGCAGAGGGCTGTGTGCCCTGCCTGCTGTGGGGCCCAGGGATGGCCCTGGAGTCCCTGTGCCAGCCCCACGTGGAGCTGGGCAGGGCAGAGGGCTGTGTGCCCTGCCTGCTGTGGGGCCCAGGGATGGCCCTGGAGTCCCTGTGCCAGCCCCACGTGGAGCTGGGCAGGGCAGAGGGCTGTGTGCCCTGCCTGCTGTGGGGCCCAGGGATGGCCCTGGAGTCCCTGTGCCAGCCCCACGTGGAGCTGGGCAGCCGGGCAGGCTCTGGCTGTGGCACGGGCACAGGGCTGTGTGCTGTGGGTGCGGGGTTGGCCGTGGGGTTCTGCCGTGCAGGATTTCCCTCCGTCTCAGGGTACCTTCAGCTAATTGGGCTCATCTGCGGCCCAGTCTTTTCTAAAGAGCCCAAGCTTTAGATGAAAATGCAGGCAGAAAGGAACTGCAGTAAAAGTAGTTGTACTACTAGTTCATCCTATGATTAATAGCAAGACTTGCTTAGAAGTTAGTCTTTGATTTCCTCTGTTTAATTGTAGCCCTAAGTGAAATGGGTTTTTGATTTATAGAAAATGCAAAATTGGGTACAGAGAGTTTTAAATTACAGTAATAGTAAAAAATTTCCCACAATACTCATCCCATATTGTTTCAATTCAAAAGAGCTAAGGCTTGATTTGTGTGGGAAAGAATCCATAGCAGCCAAGTTCCACATTTGAAACTGGGGAGAGGGGAGGATCAATTACCCTCTTTTGAGGATATAAAAATATGCCTGAACTTCACTATGTAATACTTTTATCATATATTCCCTCTCTGGAAGGTTGCATGATGATTAATTAATTTAGAATAGCTGTTTTCTTGCATGAGTACCATGAAAAAGCAAGCTAGGAAGTTTGTGTTAGAATATACAAGAACATTGGTTTTAAAAGCAGAAGCTTTAGGAACAGCGATGGCTCATATTCATGATGGAAAACTAATCTATTTTTTTATAATTACTTGCATTATGCAGAACAGTTCAGTATACTGTGAGAGTTTTAAAAGTCATAGTGCAATAACTGCAGTAGCTTTAATAATGGCAGTTTAATTCCTAAACTGCTTTTTGGAAGTCCTACACGGCTGATCTCACTTTTGCTGCATCGTATTTATGTTGACTTTTTCTTTCATTAGACCACAACGTCTGTGTATGTTTACAGCACTAATCCTAAATGTTGACATTCTGGATAGTTAAAATATATTCTGTATCATTGAAGCTATTCTGGGGGAAGTGGCTTTGCTTTAACAGGGTGAGACCAAATGCTGCTTTGTTTACAGGGGTAGATGCTGAAAAACACTAATCTGACCTACGAGGGTTTGCATGTGTGTTCCTGAGAATAGAGTTTGGGCCTTTTGTATTTGCTGGTTTGTGTACCAAAATACAGTTAAAAATTATTTTGAAAATAATATTGAAAATAATATTGCAGTTGTTATTCTGGTGGCCAACATGATTTTTTTTTAAAATCCTGCTTCACAGTCTCTTCTAAGATACAGTTTTTATTTGGAACACACTGAATTTACAGTTTTAATATAAAATGCTACTTCTATTCTATTTAATTTGGCATGACCAAATGTAAAATCTAACCATAATGCACAGTATTGATCCATTAATAGGCATTTTTAAATTGTACTACACATCTTGGATAATTTATTGTAGTAGGATTTTAAAGTCAGGTAAGCTCTGCATTTGTGCTATAGCCTGACAGTTTAATCAAGATACAAATTTAGAAACAAATCAGCACTGTCTTTTATATGGTTCCTCTAAATCCATGGTAATTGGTAGCAGACCTCGGTAACAGGGAAGGATTGCAGTTCCATGCTACCAGTACCAGTGGGTGTTGCTCCACAGCTGCATCATATAAGAAGGGAAGATGCAAGAGAAATTAAAGGATCCCCACATGCATTTTTCTGTAATGTACCTTTTGCAGAGTCCGAGGCTGATGGAAAATTCCCTTGAATCCAGTGTGTTAGAGGGCTGTAAACAGTGCCATATGTTCTGCACACTTTAACTCCTACCTTTGGAGAGCATGGGGCACTTCTTGAGTCAGCTTTCTTTTCTTTGTAGTTTTGAAACATTTAAAAAACCCTAAAAGCTTGAATTTGAGCAGCTCAGGGAGGGGAGAATCCGAGTGCTGCTGGTGTGTTCCCTGGCTGCCCTGGGCTCCCTGCAGAGGCCTGTTCGGGGGGCTCAGCAGTGCCAGGCTGTCCCGCGCGGCGCTGGCTCGGCACAGGTCGGTCCCTGCACACCCGGGAGCGGATCCGAGCTATAGGCTGAGCTTGTGTGCTCTGGCAGCACAGATGGAGTGTGCTGTCATTAGGACTGTTCGTTGCCTGTTGGAACACACAGCATATTTCTACCGTGGCATCAACAGTTTCTAAGAACTGAGGTCAAAATAAACAGGTTGTAGTTGGATACAGGAACAGTCTGGGAAACAACTTAAAATTCCCTGCTTAGGCATTATGGTATTCCTAGATCCGTGGGTCAAAAGGCAGGGCTTTCAGCAAAGGCTCGTCCAGATTTCTGCTGGTGAGTGCAGATCCTCATGGAGTTGCAGGGGTACGCTCCATAAGTTTTCTAGAGAGATTGATGCATGTACGCAGAAATGACCTTAATTTAAATAAAGAAGCAAATTTAAGCACAATAATTCCACGCTGTTTCTCTTAGTCTCTGTAGTACTTGAGCCAAGTGGGAGCGATGTCCTGGTGCCCATTTGAAAAGGGCATATTTCAGTTAGAACTCAGGCTCCGCTGCAGGTGTGGGTGGCACTGAAGGCGACAGGGCTCTGTGCAGGACTGACAGCCTCTGGCAAACCTTCTGGAAGTGGTTGGAATTGCTACTGCCCCAGCCTCCCCACTCCACCCTGTTCCTGGGGACTGGGGCTTCCTCAGCAGAGCCTGTGAGGGGGGCGTGTGCCCACACCTGAGCTGCTTCGTGTCCCCCCCACAGGTCCGGCTGGAGCCCTTGGAAGTGCGTCACTCCCTGCGGAGCTGCTGCGGCGTTCCCGAGGGCTGTGCCTGCGGATCCAGCGTGGAGAGCCCCATCTCCAGCAGCCAGGTGGAGCAGACACCCAGGGAAAAGGGACTTCGGTGTGGGACAGAGCTCAAATGTCAGTGCCCCTTCCGCCACGGGTAAGTATTTACCAGATCAGCCCATACATAGACTCAGATTCCAGGTGATTCCTGGCCCCAGGGAGATGAGTGGAGTTTTAGCCAGGGATATCAGCGAAAGCAGGGTTTAATTTGTAGTGTTTAAAAAACCAGCAAACTTTTACTTAACAGAAGAAATACTTGGGATGATTTTGGCTTGAGAGAGCTGTAAGTAGATTTGTTTCCTGACAGAATCAGCAACAGTCACTTGGAAAGGTTTACTCATATTTGCCTGGTCACAGTTGGTTTACAACCATTGGAACTCTCTCCCGCTTGTTGGGCTGCAAACACACAAAGGCATAGCAAGCCACTAGATGTTAGAGAATATTCTCATGGGTTTACTTAGAAAATGTTCTCATGGGGTTTTGTTGGGTTTTTTTTGGTGGGAGGATTAAATGTAACTCTAGTTTCAGTGGTTAAAATTAAAAAACAAGGTTATTTTTTCCTTTTCAGAAATGAAACGTTATTGAGCTGTATGGCATGCATAACAGTAAATAGTTAATACAGATATGAGCAGTGAAGTAGGGAAAAGAGGTGTCAAGAGAATTAAGAAAATTTAGAAGACTAATATGGAAAGATGTGTTTAATTCTTTTAAGAGTGAAAAAGACAACCTTCCCGTATTCTTTGTTGCTTCCAGTTTGCTGCTGTTGCCATTCTTGCTTCCCGTGTCGTGAGGAGTTCAGTGGTCTGCATTAGAACCAGAGTAGTAATATTATAATCCCTTCCTTTCCATATGCTCCTTCCACCACAGTGACAGGGAAACAGCACTCCTAGAAAACTCTTTTCACTGGCTGATCTTACTGTCTCCACCAGGTTTTCTTGGCTCTTGCTATGCCCCTACCCACAGTCTGTGTGTAACCCTGTGCCTTTCCATCCTTGGCCCTGGGAGGGCTGGTGCAGCCTCCTTCCCCTGCCCCAGCTCCTCTGCCCTGCTCGCAGGCAGCTGCTGAGGCTGCAGCTCCTCGTGCCCGAGCTGGGAACGCTCTCCTCCCCCTGCCTTGGAGTTGGCTCTCGGCGCCCGCCGCAGATGGTCTGTACCTCATGCATAATAAAGATTTTTTTTTCTTCTGAGGAGGGTTTCTGTGAATGTGAGAGGCAGACAGTCTGGCAAGCTTAGACCTGTGTTTTTATATTTTTTTCTAAGTGAGCCTTGAGGGATGTGTCTGCCATAGTTTGGAACCCCTTAATAGCTAATGGAGCTCAGTAGTGTTTTGGTGCCAGAAGTAGGAACCTGATTTGTCCACTTGATGTTTTCTTAGAGGAAATTACATACATAGGCAAAATGAAGTTAGGGCCCAGCTGGACAAGACAAAGAAATTAAGCAGAGGCATTCCAGGAATTAAAGTGGTTGCTTTAGGAAGGTGGTCTTCTAATAAAGGTATGATAGGTTTGTGCTAGCTGTGTTTGGGACTTGCTTTGGGGTAGGCTGTTAGAGGTGTGTATTTCTTACTAGTCCTAGTAAATGTTTTCCAATGAGTTCACTCTGCACTGCTTTTAGACCTGAGTAATAAATGTCCCCAGGACCTCATGTAAGAGCCAGATGAGCATTTTGAAATTTCAGATGGTTTGGGTTCTAGGTAGCTCAACATTTTCTAATTCCTTTGTGTGGAACTGTGTTGGTAGGGTCACACTCAGCACTCCAGGAGCCATAAAAACAGGCCCATGTGGAGAGTTCTGCTTCATGGGCCAGGCTTTGATTTTCTGTTCTGTGTGGAAGCTGCTTGCCTGCACAGGGCTGTTCTTGATCCCTGCAGTTTGCTTTGGGAGCTGAAAATGTACAACATATGCGGGAAGAAAATAGCGGATATACACTTATACCAGCACTTTTAGCAGCTGATTTGACCCCCATGAGAAAGGATATGTCAAGGTCAGATATGGGGTTGCGTGTTTTAAAAGATAAGAGGAAAAATGTTCTGAACAAAGTTGGATTTTGTTCATGATGAGGAAGAGTTTTTTCCAGATATTTCACTCCTCTGTTTTTCATGTTAGTGCAGTCCAAAACTGACTTGTGGACTGTGCAGTGTTTGCTAAAGTACTTTGAGATTTAAGTGTCTGAAACTGCCAGCTCCTATAAAGAAAAAAACCCACTGGTGTCAGATAAGACACTTTCCCAGGGCCTGAAGGGTGTCAGAGTAAGGGGCTCTAAGGAGTGAGCAGAGCAAATAAAATATTTTGAGAAGAGACAAGCTCCAGAGAAGATGTTACTTAGACAGCAGTGGTCAGCAGCACAGGATGGTCTTAGACTCGTCCTCCAGGCTGGAAGGGGCCTCAGGAGGCATCTCGTGCAGCCTCCTGCTCAAAGCAGGGTCGGCCCCGGGATCAGACCAGGCTGCTCAAGGCTTCATCCAGTTGGATCATGAAAGCCTCGGAGCGTGGAGACTGCATATCCTGCCTATGCAGCCCCTTCCATTGCTTGACTGACTTTTTGAGCTGCTAGGATACATGTTTTAAGCATAGAACACGAGGGTTAGAGATATACTTAGTCTTAAAAATTAAGTGTCGTGTAATTGCATAACTGCAGAAGCTGAGGCTTTAAGAACAATACTGAATATCATGAAATTTGTGATTTGATTTTAAAATTAAGCAACATCTATAAGATCAAGAGTCTGCTGCTTTTGTAAAGCAAATGTTCATCTAAGAAGAGTTTTTTCAAATAGTGAACCATATCTGTAAAGTTCTGAAATGATAGCTGCTATTATGTGCTCCTCTGCTTGGCACAGTAATTAAAGTGTACATTAGTGCTCTGAGACACGTGTTTAGAAGTATGGATTGAAATTAATCACCCTGCCACTATAGAAATTGCTTGCTGAGTCCAACAGCATATGTGTTGCTGTAGACAGTTGGTGTTCATGTATTCTGCATGGGTTCTGTTAAATCTAATATTTCATATAAAAAATATAAAAAGACATTTAATTGTATTAAAGATATGTAGGGGTTATTTACATATTGAACTGGACTGGGACAGGCGTTTTTAAAGGCAAATCTTGCACTGTAACAACCACTAAGGATTAAATTGTCAAGCTACTCATACTGCTCTAGGGGTCATTGAGGTGTCTGCAGGCATCTCTGTGAGCGGGGCAGCAGGAGCTCCTGCCTCTGCAGTGGGGGTCACCCCAACCAGGTTTGCACATCCACACTGCCTGTGGGGTGAGTCCCTGGGGAGCGCCGGGCACGGCCCTCAGCGCTGCAGGGTGGGTTTGTATTGGGGGGGTGAGTCCCTGGGGAGCTCCAGGCACAGCCCTCAGCGCTGCAGGGTGGTTTGTATTTGGGGGGTGAGTCCCTGGGGAGCTCCAGGCACAGCCCTCAGCGCTGCAGGGTGGGTTTGTGCCATGGGGTGAGTCCTTTGGGAGCTCCAGGCACAGCCCTCAGCGCTGCAGGGTGGGTTTGTGCTGGGCTGAGCTCCCGGGGGAGGCCCGTGGCTGCTGAGATAGCTCTGCAGCCATTGATGGGGTTGCAGTGTGGGCTCCATCTCCGGCTTCCTGGACAGCCCCAGTGTGCTCAGGGAAGGCTCAGGCTGTGCAGTTACCAAGTGAGGTGCCACCACTGCCTGCGCCACCGGCGCTCTGCCTGCCACACAAACTTTGTACTGAACGTTCCCGAAGGTGCTGGCGAGGCGCTGATGTCAGCGCTGTCGCGGAGCTCTGCTCGCTCCGCTGTGCTCCGTGCGGTGCCCAGGGCAGGCGGTGTCCCCTGCCCGGGGCAGGCGGGTGTCCTGCCGGGAGGCGGGTGTGCCTCCCGGGCTGCACCTCCAGTGCGCAGTGGCGGGGAGGGCCGGGATCCCGGGGAGCTGCGGGGCTGCTGCTCCCGCAGGGACTCTGCAGGCTCCGCACTAAGGGCGTCGCTCCGCGCAGCGCGATCTCACGGACTGCGAGAGGGGGCATCGAGCAGGAAAAGGACACGAAAAGAACAGAGTCGCTGGCTGGGGAACTGTTTGAGAATTGCTGCCCTTGCCAAGTTAAAACGTGTGCACAAAAAATGTCTCGTTCTTCCCTGCCTATGCTCCAACATAGGACCCAGTTAAAAAAATGACTGTTTTTGTAAAAGTCCAACTTCCAGATGCTCACTGGTGTACACACCTCTTAGCATGTTCAAGATCTAAATGCAGTGTTCAGGCAGCCTTTCTTTCACAGCTAATATTGATATGCTGCCCCAGAGTTACAAAAGCAGAGAAAAGAAAACCCTGACAGACATTTTGTGCTTCAGTTGATACATATTTGCATATTTCTGCATGGTGAAAGTTGTTTTTTTTAATTATTTTTGCAGCCTAGCAGCCTGGATGTAGTCGTCCTGTCAGAAGTATGAAATTTACAGCAGAAGAATTAATTTAACACCAAAAAAGCTCTCCCTCATCTGAACTGTCATTCAAAATGCACAATGAAAATCACCAAGGAGGAGTTTTCTACCCCACTGTCTACAGGACTCCTGGAAGAATCTTCTGAAACTTGCGGTAAGTTTTAGAGACAAAGAGCAAACAGCTTAGCTGTAAAGTAGAAGCTGATGCAAAGGTGTAGTTCTAGGGCAGAGAAGATCCTGTGTGTGCACTGATCTCTCTGCTGAGATGTCTGTAGGAGGAATGGCATGTGAGAAAATTTCAATGCAATATTTGTTTAAGTAATCAAAGCAGAAAGAATAAGTCTAAGTTTATACCAGGATTGAATAATATATATATATATATTTGAAGGAATATATATATTTGAAGGAATTGCTTAGTATTTAAAAATGAAAGCTTATATTATATTTTCTTTATTCTTTTGAAAATATATGTCAAAGTACAGAAATGTTTAACTATGAAAAATAAGTGATAGTGTAAGCAGGACAAGCAGGAACTGCTGAGTAGGACAATGTATTTTGGCCTGGTTAGCTCCTGAGAAATAGCTGCAATATTTGCACTGTGTTCAGTTAATGCCATTGCTTTGTCCTTAGTGGTTTTGTTTTGCATTCAGCAGTGGTATCCATCCTCTTACATTTGGTGAATTAAATTCTTCCACTGTGTTTCCTAATTGCTCTGTCAATGTAGTACAGGTGGTTAGGGTGTCATCAGGATCCCTTCTCCATCACTGTGGTCATAGGATTTTGTATGGAGCATTTTCCAGAGGCTATCAGTATGTTCTATTATACAGGACTCCTTTCCTCCTGCTTCTGTTTCAGGTCCTAGATATAACTAAAATCCACACCAGAAACCTTGCTTTCTAAGTGCTGGGCACAGCCATTAGTGGTGCAGGGGTTCACATTCAGGGCAGTATAAAGTGCTGCTGCTGACAGATAATGGAAAGCTCGCTTTATAGCCTTAGGAGTTTGGCCAGGGCATACAAAGAATTATTTTACATTTGTTTATAGTCAGACAAGTTTGCAAGTAAGACAGTAACAAACAGAAGTGTTCTTGCAGCCTTTGCAGCTCCTCTTTCTTGTTAGCATCAAAGAGAATATTTGTGGTAGAATGCATAGGAGTCAGTAATGAGTGTGGGGGAATCAACAGCATGAAGATTTATTTTTGTGTTGACTCTGGTTATCCCCTATCCTCCCATGATGGGTGCCTTTGCAGGCCAGGCAAAGCATGCGTGTTTCCCTGGTCTGCTCTCCCTCCAAATGCTGGATGGGAGCGGTGGCTGGGCACTGGTACCACACTGTGCACTCCAGAGCACCAGAGGCATTAAGGAACATAGGCAGAGCCTTATGTAACCATGACATCAGTGGCTTATTTCTGGCAGTGACTCGTGTAAATTAGCACTGGGGATGGAGCCCTCGTGCTGCTCTGTAGCCTGCATGGCCCCCCTGTGCATTGCATCAGGAACGTGAAAAACCCTCCCAGGAATCCTGGCACGGGGGGATATTATTTTGTTTTGCATAGGAAGCATGTATGTGGGTGAATATATGTGTTGCATACATGTGTGTAAATATGTAAAGTGGCTTGCATTGCCTGTGTCTGGGGGCAAAGCCTCATGTGTGACAGACCTTTTAACTTCGGGAGTTGTGCATCTTTTGTGTCGGCTCTGAGGCAGTGGAGATCAGCTGAAATGTCAGTCCTAGGGGGTCACTGCTGGGTAAGAGAGAGTTGCCACGATCCCAGTTTCTCTGAGGGCCCTTGGGTCCATGATTGGATTCCTCTCACAGCTTGGTCCAAGCCAGCATGTGTTTTATGGCTGTAAAGCCCATTTATCTCATGCTTTCACCTGGGGATGCCAGTCTGGGGCTGTGCAGATCTGCTGAAAAGGTACCTGCGGGTTGGGACTTTCAAGGCCTTAAATAACTATATAGAAAGATAACTTCTGTTGAGGAAATGTTACCCCTTTCCTCATTTCTGTCTTTTTTTATGTCTTTCATTGTGTGTCAGTGGTGCTGAAAAACTGAGATTTGGGTGTCCGTATATTTTATACTGAATTTAAAACATAAACAGCTCACCGTAAGAATCTTCTTATAAGAAAGTTGAGAGAGAGAAATCAGTTAAAAGGTGGTTGTTCTTATTAAGAAAACAGTGAGTTATTATTGCTACCTCTGACATACATAAGTCTAGTAATACATATATCTCTTTAGGACTTGACCTCAGAATAAATTTCAAGATCAGAAACTAAATTAAAATCTTCTAAAACTTGATCCTCATGTATTTTTAAGGAAGTGGTCTATTCCAAGAACTCTAATATACGAAGTCTTGTTAAGGTTAAAGTCTCTGCAGGCTGAAGTTCATTTTTTGAAGAAGAAACACAGTTAACAGTAAAATCAGGTAACACCCAATGATATTGCAACAACTAGTTAATTCAAATAAATTCGTAGTGAGAACATCTTCAATGTATACAAAAATACTAGCTTCTCTTTTTATTGGTGTGTTGATACACAACTTTCTCAGTAATAATATACTTTATTTTGGAAAAAAACTAACCTTTGTGTCTTCACTAACAAACCTTGAATACTCTTCTGACTGTTCTCTCATTCTGTTGGTTCTCACGTATTCACGTGAGAATTTTTTGACTCATACTTTAAAAGTATTTTAACACTCAGTAAACCTTCTTTCAAATACACTTGCTCTGGATACTCTCAGAGGGAGGAAGAGCCATTCTCCCGTGCTTCCCATGTCCTGGGTGTGTGCAGTGACTCTGGCAGCTGATGCTGCATTGCTCCAGACAGAAATAGAAAGATAAATCAGTAAATCTGGCCTTGTATTACCTGTTGCAAAGTGAGAAATGAGGCATTTTAAAATCAGATGCGAGCACAGGATCCAACATGGTTTGCTTACTCCCGATTTGTCAGTTCTGGCCCAAGGAGTGTGGTGTTCTCAAACCCAGCCGAGGGCAAAGGCTGGCCCTGTGCCCGTTAATTTTCTGCCAAGTTATTTGGATGTGTTGAGGTAAAGAAAGAGGTTTTGGTTGTGTGGAATTTGGTTTTTTCCTGAGCCGCAGAAAGCAGATTCCCTTGTACACAGGCCTTAACTGGGTTGGTGAGCTGTGAGTCCAGGAAGGGGACAGTGCCATTTGAACACTCAGCTCTCTTTGGAAGAGCTTCACAAATCCCAGGCAAGGCTGGGCCTCCTGAGATGGTTGGCATTATCAGGGCAGACATCTACAAAACCGGGTTCAAGCACTTATCTGGCCTCTCTGCTCTTCTTTTTATTTAGAATTTCAGTTCTCTGGAGTATCACTGGACAAGGAAATGGTGTGTCCACAAAGTTCAGATTTAGTAAACTGATAACAATAACAATAAACAATAAATTACTGAAAAAGAGCATGAAAGAATAAATATTTTTAAATGTATTTTAGATTTAAATGTACCAACTGTGCAATATATTATTCTCAAGCTCTGGAATGAGGCGCTGGGACTGACATAACTTGCCCTGACTATTCCCTGGATTAAAAATTCCTGCTGTTTGGATTCTGTCATGAAATGGTTGGCATCCCAGCAGTCATGACAAGTGTATAAGTTGGCAAGGAATTAAAAATGATGGTGCCTCTGAAGTTTAGCAGGAGGTTTCCTGCCTGGGGATGGCAGGCAGTTGTAGCTGTAGTTGTAGCTTGTCTGTGCAGCAGCTCATTTCTGAAACAAAGCAAGCTTGGGCGCGTGTTCCACTTTGTCATAGGAACTGCTACATTTGGTTTTCTTTGAGTGTTTTCAGGCACTGGAGTTTTCATGTGCCCACTTCTCCTTTTTTTCTTGTTGTTTTGTTAATAAATTAAATCTGACTACAAGATCCCTCTGCCTCTAAACTGCAGTAAGGGCTGCTTGAAAAAGCATGAGCCTCCTAAAATTTTTACCCTCAAGAGGAAATAACTGATTTTTTGTTTGTCTTTGATCCAGTCACATCAATGTAATTTTCCTTCTTCAAACAATTGAGCCTGCAGTTCATTATAGTGCAGGACCGGAACCCTTCTATTACCTTATTTTTAGCAACAATTACATTAAACCTTAAAGTTGCGTTTGCGAGAAGAAGGGCCTGCACCAGCCCCAACTCTGCTCTCAAACCTTGCTCTGGCTGAGCCCCGGGAGAGGCAGTGGCAGATTGAAGCCCAGCACCTCTGTGCTGAGAGGAGCAGCTGGACGGGAGGGCCCTTGGCTGCTGGGGCTCCAGGGTTTCTCTGGGGCCAAGTGGTGCCCTCGCGGAGCCATTTCCAGCCTGGCCTCTTTGTTTGCAGGACTTTCCCTTGCTCTCCTCAAGGCTCTCAAGGAGCTCTTAGTGCTTTGGAGTGCCCTGAGGGGACTGTGTCAGCCCTGGGGCCGTGTGGGACCCCCATGGAAGCGCTGCCTGTGCTGTGGATCTCAGTGCCCTCCTGCCCCCCAGCATCAGGGAGCACCATGATGCCAGGCCAGTGCATCCCTGGGGGGCACTCACTGGAGCTCCTGAGCCTGGGACAGCCAGGGGCTCTGCAGGACTCTGCTCTTGCAGCTTTAGCATCTTCCCAGAGCACAGCCTCGGGCTTCTTCACAGCTTATGTACTCGATTAAAACATCATTTCCCTTCAGCTCATGGAGCTTAGAAGCTCTTAGAGGCATGAATTAATGGAGAGACAGGTTGTGTCTGCTATGGAGTTGAGGAGCTGTGCTTCAGAGGAGAAAAATCGTTCTGCCAGGTGATTTGTTAGGTTCAAGCATTGCTTCCAGAAGTTTTCAAGCAACAGTGTTTATCTGCAGTTGGGACTGACGGACACCATCACTTCTTCTTAGGAAACGTGCCGTTAGAGGATGTTGTAGTTTTCCTAAACACGGCCCTTGGAAGTCTAGGAAGAGAAAGGCACTGCTGAGGCAGGAGGGAGGTGAGGGAGAATAGTGCGTGAGATTTGGAGGTGTCTGCCAAGCTTGAGAGAACAACCTCCCATCACAGTGGCTGTGGCAACCCAACTGGAACTTGGAAAGAGGAGCATAGTTTGAAACATTGGATATTTTACTCTCATTGTACCTGATTGAAATATCCAGGTATTGCAGGTAGTAAAGCTCTCTAAATACCCATATTAAAGTTCACTGCAAAAATATGGAGCCTTCATGTTATTTACCTGACATACTGTGCTCAGAAACGTGGTTGGCATCCAGCAGGCCCAGAGACCCACAGACAGGAAAAAATCTGATTAATAGCACCAAGAAATGGGCAGAGTAACCCCCTGCAAGGAACCAGACCCCTCGGAATGCAAAACTACCAGGCCAGGAAGATTTGAGGCGCATGTGGAAGAGCTGTGTCTGTATATGAGCCTGACAAAGGGAATAAAAATGACAGAATGAAGGTACAGCTTTACGTTTTCACAGGATAAAACAGAAGAGTGAAATAAAATATACAAACCCTGAAAGAGCTGGGGAAAATATTTGAGGAGAATGTACAGGAGGCAGCAGAGGAATACTAAAAGCAAGAAATAGAGAAGAGCATAGATGCTTTCATTGTATTGCAGAAAGTTCTGGTGTGCACATGTACGTTAGAGACATAAAAGATCTCCTAATTAGAGACAGGATCATTTGTGGGACATGTGATTCCAGTTTATAGGAGGAATTGCTGAAAAAAAGACATCCAACCCTAAAGGAATGAATCAAAGAACAAGAGCAGCTGAACTGTCCAGGGAAAGGAGCAAAACAGCGACCACTCTTACAGGACACAGGCTGTGCTTAAAATGAGTCCAGGAGACAGGGAAGAGCTGGGCTTGGGAGGGATGAATCTGAGAGCAGGGCACAAAAGGGGAGTGCCATTTGGGGCTGCTGGGAACAGGGCCACCAGGGTTCATTGAGCAGCAGGACCCTGGTGTCTGGCTGACGCCTCGTGGGCTCTCCCTCCTCGCAGGGAGAGAGGAGGCAGAAGGAAAAGCGCCCAGCCAGGTGTGGTGGGGCAGCAGCAAGGTGGAAACCTGCTCTGTCTCAGCAGAACAGGAAGCAGCAGGCTGTTCTGGAGCTCAGCATGTCTGAAGGAATATGAAATCAAGCTGCCAGCCTTTAGGTGTCTCTGGGTTAGCAACCTCTGCTCAGTCACCAAATGTTGCATGAAAAGCAGAACTGTCAAAGGAAAGCTGGGGTGACCTGTCTGCACTTCCGAGAGAGGAGAAGCAGGAAGATAATGTTTGAAAGAGGCACCAGGAAGTTAATCTGTCTGAGCGTGACCTGAATGTTACCCCATATTTTTTTTTTGTTTCTCTACGCCGTTCTCTAAAGAAAAGCCAATTATTTTTCAGAAGAATAGGGGCCTCTCATGTTGTTATTCATCATGTGGCACATGAAACACCAACGCTAACTCCGAAACTGCGAGTTAACCTTGTCCTTTCATCACGTATGGTCATCTCATCACTAGGCTGGTGACTGCTCAAAGCTGCCTGAAAGTGGTTGGGCCCCAGACAACTGAACTTTTATGCATCAGTACAAAAGCAGCAAAGAAGATGAGAAGGAAAACTTGTTTGTCCCAAGGGATGCAGCATAGTGGTTTGAGTAGTCCTGCCTAGAAAGTCACTTGTGGCTTTTATAATAAGGAACTTAAGGTTTGAATTTTCAGACTTATTAGCTGTACATTTGTTTGTTTTTTATTAACTTAATATACTATGTGCCACATTTTCCTTGGGGTATTGAGTCAAGTGATGGATTCATCCAGTTTAGCTCTAAATGCGTGGGCTCTCTTTTTCATAAAACTTTGAAGAGATTTGGGTCTCAAATTTCCAGAATGATTTTATTTTATGCCTGTATATTTTGGTACAGCAACTAATGTTTTCTGTCCCGTTTCCTTTCTGAGAATACATACTTCTGGCTAATGTAGAGAGGGAATGTAGATTTTGTTTGTTCTCTTTCTTGACCCGTGAGAATTAGAGTTGTCTTCTTATATGAGCAGACACAGTTATACCACTTTAGTCTACAAAAGAGTCACTGGAAGTTTCCAATCCCCTAGCTCTCTGCTTCAATGGAAAGAAAAACAGGTTTTAAAAAGTGTGAGAAAGATATGGCTATTAAGCTAATCCAGTATACTTCATCTAGCTGCTAAAAATCTCGACTGTTAAAAGTGATTAAATGTAATTGCATCAGTAAAGGTGGTGTAAAAAAACCCCTGAGTTTCATTAGAAGCTATCTTTAGGAAACCCTGATTCCTTGGCTTACAAAGTTACATATAACATTGCTGTTTTATTTTGGGAGTGCTTTGAAGGTTTCTTAAACCCAGGGTTACATAGAAAGAATAAATAAAACCCAGCAGGACAAATACACAGTTCTGAAGTATTCTTCTAGGTTTCATTATATGTCCACAGTGCATGTGCTTTATTCAAAAAGAAAATTGGGCACAAAATTGAAAAGTTAATGGATAAATATTCAACTATCTTAAAGAGCTGACCAAATAATAAAGATATTTGGAAGAAAAAACCAAATTAACAAACCACCACCTGTGTGGTGGATAAAATTGTCATAAGATGGAATGGAAGGACTCCTGGTAATTTCAGGTAAAGCTATTGAATTAATTTTTTTTTACATTCTTCAGTTTGAAAATTAATCTGTTCATTATTTTAAGAGCTGAAAAACAAAGTTGCCAAACTTTTTCTCGTTTTCATATCTTTAAAATCTGAGGTGTACCATGTCCATAACACTGCACAGTATTTATAGAGAATTTAAAATTTCTCCAAGTTATGCTGTCTGAAAAAACTCTTCTAGACAGTAAGATATTAACAAATTCATCAGTTATGGTCTAATGCAGAACGCCACATGCTGTTTTGTATCCTTGGAGCTGAACTGGATATTTGCACTTTTGGGTTTGTTTTGTTAGATTATGAGAAATTGTGTAAACTGAAACAGTGAAATACTGAGAATTACAAAATAATCTGATTCTTACATAGCTTTGGCACTGCCAATGTTAAATGTTACTGCAGGTATTTATTGCAAGAGCCTCAGTTACTGCAAAGAGAAAAGTACAACAGTGAGCCTTGTTTGCTTAGAGAAACCACATACTCCCAGTGTGTTCCGGGGGAATAATCACACACTTCTTGTGGGTATTCAGGAGAAGTGATAATTCTGAAGCAGAGAATGCTATTGATAATGTTTCCATTGGGAAACACAGTAAAAATGCATTTAGCTGTTCCCCTACATGAAATTTAAGCAAAGTTTAAGTCTAGATCGTGCGTGGCCTGTGGTGAGATGTTGAACTAAACACTGATGTGTCTTCTCCACATAAAGGCACTTTCTGCTTAAAAGTTGCTGGAGATATTAAAGCCATGAAAATGTGTTGATATTTAGGGCATTTAATGAAATATTCAAAACATGTAAGTGCACAGACACGAGGTAGACACGCACTATGCAACAAAAAGATGATGAAAAGTCAGTCCCTTCTGAATTCGTTATTTCTGTTCTGTTTAACTATTTGCCTCTTACTTTGAGAATCCCAGTGTGGAAAAATATTTTTATAATCTGTTTGGCATTTTTGGCCCTCATGCAATTTTGATTCATGAGTTGAAATCCTGTTGCCGTGGAAATCAGCTGAATTGTTGATCAGCTTTGAATTTCTCCCACAAATGGAGGCAACTGAGGATATCATCTAGGCCAGTTCTGTACATGATGTTGGCCATAGTGTTCTCCCTTTTATTCCATATGAGTGGGAGCTGTATTTCAGTGATGGTGGAAGTCAAGATTTCCCAATGTTACTGCAGTGAGTTCACTCATATCAAGGGCAATGAGGGTGTTTGGCAGAGATGTTTGAGCTGAAAGGAGCTGCTCGTCACCCACATAAATCCCACTGGGCACAGACCTCCCTTACAGACAGCGCACAGGAGGAAAAGCAAGGTGCCCAGGACTTGTCCAAGAGATCACCAGGGGTTTTCCCCCAGATTTCTAGAAGAAAAAAGGCAAGGCAGCAACTCTGAGGTGTGTAGAGAGCAGTGAATTGTGCTGCCCAGCGTTCAGAGCTGGCAGATGTGCTGCTGTCACTGCAAGGTGCCCATGGCAGGCTCTCGGGAGGGTGCCAGGGCAGTGACAGAGAGCTGTGCTCCCTCCTTGCCTGACCTTTGGAGATCTGCTCACGGGGGTGAACCTGGCAGTTCTCTGGGATTCTGCCCACAAGTGGGAGGTTGGTTGCTGGGCAGCTCTTGGCCAGTTGTCATCATCAGCTGTCCACAACTTCCTCTGCCCCTGCCCCATACCAGCACCGCTAGCAAGGGGTGTAGTTTTTCTCTGATGACTTTCAGAACAGCTGAAATAAAAATAAACACTGGTTTTTAGGAAGTCAAAAAAACCAAAACAAAACCACTTATAAAATATAAGCTTGATATATGACTTGGGAGGAGGGGTTTAGGTTAAACTGATTTTATTAGAATTATGCGAGGAAGTGAAACTCGGAGTGCCAGCTCTGTGTCTCCTTGTCTCTGCCCCACGACTGGGAGAGAGGGATGGGGTAGGAATTGGCTGCTGTGGGCGGGGTGGGACAGGAATGTGCTGCTGTGCTGCTCTCCCAGGCCCGGGGCTGGCAGGGGGCAGTGAAAGCAGAGCCGTCCCCGCGCTGGGAGTGCCAGGTGCTGGACCTCGGCAGTGCTCACACTCGGAGGGTATTTCTGGCTTTCCTCAGCTTTGATCCTGCCACTGAATCTGCAGGGGTGCAAAAATCCACCCACACAGATCCGATGTCAAAATCCTGGCCTTAATTATTTATGGTTTGCTTTGGACAAATTACTGTTCTCTCTGCAATAACCACAGTTATTACCAGAAATACAGAACAATCTAAATCATACATATATACATTATGTAGGTATGACATTTATTTTTTTTTAAGGCTGTAACTTTATTAATGAGTTTTGAGGCTTAACTGAAATTCTCATTTCTCAGTCTTACCCTGTGCTGCTTTTTACCTGACCATACTGGTCTAGATCTACAGCAATTAATTCTCAGAAGAAAACAGCTCATAATGTTTATAACCTGAAATCCAACTTAGAACTGAAAAAACATCCAGCTTTATACACCTTGCACCAAGATCCTAGTGGTTTGTTAAACTGCAAATGGACTTTACTAGTTTCCTGCACAAGAGAGACCCCCTTTTTTAAATGTCTCTGGACTCTGTTCACGAGACTAATCCATCTCAAGTTAAATCATTTTCATCTGCGCCTAAATAAAAAATGAATCTCTTATGAAAAAAACCCAAACTTTTTAACATAGGACAGTACATTTCATGAAACAAAAGTAAAATCAAAATTTTACAGCAAAATCAAGCATGCTACTGCAGAGCTAGGCAATGCCAACCAACACCATTCTTTAATTAGAGTAAGTCAAACTTTGTGGCTTATGTGTTTCCCAAAGTCTTTTTCTTTATTTCTTTTCACCTTACTTTTTCCTAAATTTTTAATCATAAATTAATGCTGATATGTTTGCTGTCCTAATGGTTACAAATAGGCTCACAGCAGTTGAATGTTGCTTTAAATTTGGATTCTTGTCTTCATTTTTTTCCCTTAGTAGAACCATGTGAAAACATCTACTCTCTTCAATAGTTCGTAGGTAGGATATTGCCAGCCTGGTCATTTCCCTTCTTGCATGTGCTCAGTTGGAAGTCAACTAAAAATCAGCAGAAGCTTCCAGGTAATTCTGTGCCTGCTTAGAATTATGTAAAATTGAGTTTTGTTTGAAGTTAAAATCTGCACCCCAACTTTCAGTGAGGTGCCAGCCTGGTACTCTAAAGCATGTTTCTGATTATTTGGTTTTGATCTGATGGGAGAGTAGCACTAGTTCTGGTTTCCAAGTTAATGTATGCTTCTGGCTCTGAGGTTCCAGTGCAGTGTGTTATGGATATGGATTGCAATCCCAGTCTCAGTGTCCAAAACAGTCATGGGAAATACATGTTTTGCACATGTTATTATTGAGGAAAACCAAATGGCAGTAAAAGTACTTCAGAATGGAAAAAAGCTTTCTAGTAAAAATCACGTTTATGTGAGTGACCTGTGTGAAAATCACAGAACCTCACAAAGCACGGCGGATCTGTCTCATCAGAAACAGTTCACTCGCTGTTCAGTAGAGAGCATTTGCAGTTTTAAAAAATATAATACAGCATTAGTACTTTTCCAGGTTATTAAACAATGCAGAAGACCTTTTCTAGTTTAGTACGGTTAGTTTTTATTTTCAAATCATGGTCGTGTTTGATACTTCCTTCAAAATGTTCTTAAGCTTTCAGAATTGCACGTTCCAGAGCTTTGGTTCTCTGCAGGTTGTGTTGGAACTGATTGTTTTCTAAGCCTGAACTAAATCTCTTGAAGGGTTCCTCAGTCTTCTCCTGATGGAAAGCAATGATAACTTAAGTCAGAGGGAGGGGCCACTTAAGGCTTTTAATTATGGGAAGCCAGTTACACAATGGGGAAGAATTTTACCCTTAATATACGTGTATTTTCTGCAGAATGATCAGATTCTATCATGAACTGTATGGATATTATGATTATTTTATTTTTAAAGATTGCGAGCCAAGGTTTTAAAATTACTAGTAATTCTGGCAATGAGAGTGTCAGAGAACCAAACTTGAGGCCTTGCTGATACCCCTTCCAAAGATTTCAAGGCGTTCAGCTCTGTGCAGGAGATCCACCCATAAAGTGTCTCAGGTTGGGATACAAAAGTCCAAACTTGTCACCTTTCAGCCTTTGACCTAATTCAATTTTTATGAGAAATTGCTATAAATATATACTTGCCAAGTAATGCAAAGTGATATCTGATAGTTTTCCACAGTAAATAATTGTCTGCGCCTGTACATCTGTATGGAAAACTCAGGGAATGTGGTACAAACAAGTGTGTTTCACCTTTCAAGCTACAGCTAGATCGTGGCTTTTCAAAACCTGTGGATTTTCTCTGTAGATCAGTCTTCCAGTGTCCTTTGTTGGTGTCTTTTCTAGCTTCCAGCTAGAAAGCTAGTGATAAAGCGTCAGAACTGCACCCTTTTAAAAGAAGAAAAGCAGAGTAGGCATCTGTAATAGCAGTGTAATGACACCAAGGATGCATGTATGGTTTAGAATTGTTTGCCTGAATCCTCATTCGTTGGCACATGGACAGTTTCTCCAGTGCTTTATCTCCATATGATGTTTTGCTGCACCAGTCTGGCATCATCAGACATCCTCCCGCCAGCATTTGAAAGATTTTTCCACGCAGCCATAAAATTGCACCTTCCCCCTTACCTGTGCATCCAGCAGCTGTAATAACAGCAGTGGCACAGTGTGCACCCCTCCTGGAGGGCTGAGGCAGAGCAGCAGGGCTGGGGGCTCAGTGAGGGGTGAGCTCGTGTCCCGAGGCTGTGCCTTGGAAATGTTTATCTCAGCTGGAAGGGAGAGCTGGTCTGTCTGTGCTCCCCAGTTCCCCTCGAGAAGCTGTGCAGTGGAACATCCTCCTCGTGCTGGTAAACATTTACTTCTCCCCCTACAGCTCTTTGCCAGGTTCCCCCTGCTCCCGTGTGGGGTTCTGGTTGAAGGTTGCAGTAGTGGATTTAGGGTTTCTGCAGAGAAGAGCGAGAGGGAGGGATCAGTCCCGGGCAGGAGGACTGACAGTCCATGTTCAGCATCACGCAGGAGGGAGTTTCTTTGTGTTCTGCCAAAATGTATTTCAGTGTAAAATGTCTTGAGGCTGGTTGGGGCTACTTCTATAGAGAGCAGACCAAAGTATACAATATACTGGCTTCTCTTTTGCTGGTTTTGGACAGCCAGGGCTACTTTCCATTTCCTACAGTGTTCCAATATAACTAAGTCATGTGTGCTTGGTAATGGAGGCTTCTGAGACCTGGGGCTTCTGTAAAATGGAAAAGAACAAAGTATTATTTATACAGTATAATATTTTGATTTGCTAATGAGCTGTGAGGTGGGTGTTATCATGAACTACTGTGCAGCAAAAGAGGTTCCTAAAACATGCATCAGCTTACTCCATCTCCAAATCATTGCAGATAACACAGTGTTTAGTTTCTAATTAGACCTGTGTTGTGCTAATTCTCCTGAGCAGTGTAGGTGATTGCAGGAGCTCGGTGCATCCAGCCTCTCTGAGAGACTGATTGGCAGGATGAGCACACGCTGATTGGTGTGGCCTTGCTCTGAGGGGGAAGGAGGAAATAAAGGCACATAACCTTCAATTAGACTAATGATATTCTAGTCCTAAAAGGATTAGGAGAGAAACATTTAACTGAAAATAAAAACCCAATGTATAATAGTTCACAAATCATTTATTTATTTCGGATAGCCTTTTGCACTGTTTCATAGGAGAGGATGGACGTTATTCTTTTTCCATACCTCAATCCCCTATATTAAAAATACAGATGGTTCATCCTAAGTGCTGGTTTCTGTACCTGTGAGTAATAAGTGTAACCTTCAAGGCAGAATCTTGTGAACTGTTTCTTGATGGAACATGCCAGAGCAGCATAGGCATTTTACATTGCTAAAATTATTTCTGGATCATTTTTGCTAGAACATTTTCTTTGTGGCCAGCTCAAATCAGTATGCTTGGTAGTGCAGTTCCACTGTGGAAATGAAAATAGCAACATGGATTTGATAGGGACAGTCTCATTGAACTAGACTGGGTTAGTGTAAGAAAGGTCTCCTAACTTTAACCCTTCAGTCAGATTCTAAACATGGTTTGGCTTTTTCACATCATCCTCACTGCATTCAGCACTAACAAAGGCTGTGCCAGTCACTCCTGGAAGTCAGTCAATGTAGCACTGGATTTTTTCACCGCCTTTAAATACCTTTTTTGTTTCAGCCATTGGAAGTCCCACGTGAGGCTGAGCTGTTCCTCTGCTTGAGGGGCTGGCGCCCCTTTTCCGTGTGTTAAAGGAAAGGGGCTGGCTAAGGAGTGGCATTTTCTCAGGATGATCAAGCTGTGGCTTGCTGCAAGTCCCATCTGCCCTCTCCACATGCAGCGTTGGAGGCCCTTCCTGGAACAAGCTCCTCGGGGATTTACCTGCGTGAGGTTGCTGCTACAGGGGCACTGGGAAGGCAGATGGGACACAGGATGGCAGACTTGGACCAGTTGCACTTGGCAGAGAACAGATCTATGGAGTAGCACAGTCACTGTATGGGGCAGAATTTCTATTTAAATGGTATTCCTTGTGGATCTCATCCCCAGTCTGGTACAAATAGCAGTGGTGCCGTGCCCCTGTTGCATATTCAGAGTTGCCAGGTGGGCTCACAGGCTGCAAAGGGGGTGTTTGTGCAGATCATGATACACATAAAGGTATTTGGTTCTGTTTGTGTGCTTCAGTAATACTTTTTTGCAGGCTATGTAAATCAAGGTTGGAATTTGCTTTGTCAGTTGATGTCAGGTTGAATTAAGTCAGCCTTGAAAGCCTCAACCATATCCCAGGTAATAAAACTTAATCATGAAGTAAGAACCATAAATTTGTCTTCTGCTTGAGAAAGGAGGCGGTAAGGTAACCCAAACTTCCCATTTACTTCCTTTTGCTGTTTCTATTTTGTCTATCAGAAACTGCAAAAGGAAGGTTTTGGACCTTGTGAGAGCATTAGAAAACTTGAAAAAAAAAAATCATGTGACGCAACCACTCACTTGACCCAGCTATGGGCAACATGTTTGAACTCTATGAAACTGCCAAGTGCTCACACTTTGTAACCCTGAGTAGAGGTGTGCCTGCTGCAGATCTGTGGGATGCAGATTTGCTCATATTTCACTTATGGGGTTTTTCCAGTTTCTCTTTCACTGCTGTTCCATTAAAGTAGTGCAGCTCCCTGGAAGGCTGCAGGCATTGAAAGGGCTGCAACATTCAAAAGAGAAGTTTGGGGTCCTTTTTCTTAGTTAAACAATTTTTTATATGCCAAGTGCAGTATTTTATACTGCCCAAGGAAAAGGATACTGTTTGCCACACTTTAAAATAACACAAAAGCTGTTCCAGCTCTCCTTGAAGCCAGTGACAAGATTCCACCTGCTTTCAGTGGGAATTTGCAAAAGACCTGTGATGCAATTTCTGTCAGAGCAGAAGAAAGCTGTGAGTTCATTGTACCAAGGAAATGTAAAATGAATGAATTTCATGTGATTTCATTTGCACAGTTCAGAGAGAAACTGCTTTGGTTTTGGAGGAAGTGTCCTGTAAAGCTGTTGCTCAGGCTCTCACACGTGGTGCAGAGAAAGAAGTGTGTGACTGCACTCAGACCTGCTGCTGTTCTGTTGGAGTGTGTGTTAGAGCACAGGGAAGGAGGGACCACCTTGTCTGGGGTGTTCCCTTCAGTTTGGAAGGTGAAGTGTCCAGCTACTGTTTGAATGTGTAATAATCGCCAGGAAATCTCAAAGTCAGTGAACTAGAGCATCCTAAGTCTTGTGCAAAGCAGAGGTTGAAATGGAAGAACTCCAAGGAAAACAGGTCTCTCTTTAAAGTGAGTTTTCCCTTGGGTTTCCCTGCCACAAGGCAGCAGGAGTTAGGCTGTCCCTGTTCTCTGTGCACCTGCTGCTCCCTGTGCCTGTGCAGCCCTGAAAAAAGGAACCTAGCAGTGAACCTGTGGCATCACTGGGGCTTGTGTGAGGGGAAAGGTGTGGAGAAGTGTACCTTGCAGACACCCACATCAGTGGCGTGGCAGGAAAAAGGAATGTCTCATGTTCTCTCCATGTGAGATCAA